AAACGAACAAACGATAGCCCTAGACGAACAGTTATCCGAATTTGCTATGAAGACAACGGTACCATGAAACTTAGATTACGCCCGTTAGATATTATCGAGGACCATGGCTGGAAGAACTGTGCCTCCTCCACAAGGAAGACCATGAACCAGAAGATACAAACGAAGAAATTCACTGAGGAAAAAAAGGTAATGAAAAAAAACAACAAAAGGAAAAAAAATGATAATTTCAATGTCGTATTTCAATGTATGTCATTTCACTTTATTTGGTTAACAATTATTATTCAACTAGACCCTGTGAGCAGGGTAACTAGGATACCTGGATGGAACTGGATCCTTGACATAAAGGGTAGTGATACTACGGGTGTTGGACTAGTATACTGAAATAGTGAGCTCAAGTCTGGCCAAGGGCATACACATATTTCAAAAAAGGTTGTCACCAGGCGATAGGTGAGAAGTCATTCCAAGACGGAAAGGAATCATGGGTATACAACTCAGTCATAATTCTCGCTGAGTGTTGTACAATTGGTTTTTTTAACTGCATGGATCACAGTTTTTCTCTATAGTACTCTGTTACAAACAGAGCAAATATGATATAAACCTTCCCTAATCTTACTTTGAAAAGCTATGATCCTATGATCTAAATCATGTTGAACTGAGAAGTTTGAATTATGGTGACTGGACAGCTACGATGAGGTTCATAAAATGATAAATTAGCAATTCTCTTAATTAAAATAAGGAGAATTGTGTCGACACTTTACTCGAGAATTGATGGAGGCTGACATTGCAGCCCACAAGTCATTAAAAACTCTTGACACTAGTGTGTTCGGTTTCCTGTCTTTGCAATTTCTTTCTTTGTGTTTCTGGTCGAATACTGATGGTGTTTAGTAATGAGATCGTTAATTTCTGTTGCTCAAAGTTATCATAATTTTTCTGGGCCTTAGGTCCGTCCATTTTGTAAAACATAATAACGGTATAACCATTGAAAATTTCTTATATTACAGTTTTCCACTAAGGAGTCGAATATCCTCAGTTACTTTCGCGTGCGACACTTTTTATACTGCATGGGTAGCCTGATAAATGATGGTTTCCCATCTTTCCTCAACGGAAGCTACAATCATTTTAGAGAGCAACTTCACGTAACTTATAAGTTTTACCTTTCATCTGCACGCGTGCGTTTACAAAAGAAAATAGACCAAATTCCGAGAATACTGATATGGCCACCAAAGCTTATTTTTTACGTTATACAGTATAGCCGCCGTGATGTCAAAGAGAAACATTGCGTTAGTTGCATCATCTACTTCCCTAAAACTGGGGAATGCCTTATGCTCGGCTCCTTGTCGCTTGGAGTTGTATCACTGAGCGCAAAGTACTTGTCGAACCCAATCTGTAGGTCAATGCTCGGAAACTTAACGCTGAAGTATCAAAGAGAATTTTTTCGTTCAGAAACGACGATCTTTGTTGAAATCGAAATTTCTTGATACCTGCTGTCAAGCATCCTCCAAAATAGCTCAGCCGTGAAAAATTATTACAGGAAACGCACGTCCACGAAAGCAACAGGATGTCATTAAAGACGACCTTTGCCGTTTATCCAAAGGAACCTACTAAGGGGGGGGCACATTGGGATTTTCGGCAAGGTGGGGGAGGGGAGGGTATGGCTACACGTAACGTGGGTTTTTTTTTTATCAACGCCACCACGAAGTTGGTGACCAAGTTGATTCAACATTCCAATTGAATCTCCAAATTTCAGCTCTTATTTCGTAAATGGAAATGTTAGATTAGGGATTTTCGATGAAACTTTCCAGAGCTATAGCTTTTTGCGACTGCAAAACTGCAATCCTATAAGGGACTTTTGCGCGAATTCCTTTAATTTAACTAGGCTCCATTACCAGCTGCTGGGTCCGCAGAGACCACGCTAGAGGTCCTGGGCAGAGCAACTGTTAATTTAAGCAGATACTAGAAGATACGAATGCCAAGTCCATGGCCTTTATAAATCCTGTAATGAAATTAGTGTAGTTTACTCTGTATGTTTCACTTGTCACCACTGTATCGGATCGATCAGGGTTTTAATAACTGGGATGTGAAAATGTATCGGTTTTGACAGTTTTGCATACGGTTTTCGGTTTTGATCGAATTTTTTTTGCGGTTTTTCGGTTTTGGATGATTCTTTTCTACGGTTGTGCGGTTTCTAATAGGCCCCAAAGCCCCCCTCTACTAACGGTTCAGCTCACCATCTTTGGTTCAAATTTCCTCCTTCGATTCTGTACCGCACAAGTGAGACATGACGTCATTTACGGACTGGGGAATCCCCGAAACTTTTCACAAAATAATTTGCATAAGGAAATGTCAATTTAGAAGTCACGCAATCTTTTTTTTACCGTCCGTTCTCAATCGTTAAGGGAATAGTTATGGTCATTTTCAGGTGACGCATCTTTGGGCAATCTTGCTAAAAGCTTCAAAGTAACGACCACTCCTGTTTATTCCTCAAAATTGCCAAGGATCAGTCTTTTGGCCACAGATAAAGTTGTTCAGACTAAAACTAATAAAGACATCAGACCTACAAGTTTGTTTATTAATTCAAAGCGACACGAACTGTGACTTTAAGTTCAAAATTCGTTTAAACGAAAGGAAATCAATTGTAAAACAAACCAAAAAAAATGAGATACAAAAAAAATTCCTAATAAAACAAATAATTTACAAGCATATACTCGCGACTGATACTTCATGTTCTATGTAAGTTAAACGTTACTGGTCATGATATAAACGATTCATTCTCACGACCACAAGAAATCAACGTAGCCTGCCTGATACATTAGAGTTAAATCACACATTAATATAACAGTTTATAACTTTATTTTCGTACATTAAAACAGCCTGTAGAAATGCCAGGAAATTTGATCTCAGCGCTCTTGGTATCTGTCGAATAAAGCAAAAAATAGAAAATGACAAATTCTGTTCTTGATTCATAATTCAGACGGAAATGAAATCATGACAGTTTAGCGCTGCTGCATGTGAGTTTTCTTGGTTTCTCGATTTCTCGGTTGTTTTGCTCCCTAAGCACATAATTTTATGTAACGTCATAGTCTCAAAATTAGACAGAAGTTCAACCAATTAACCTCTATGTGTAACTTCTCCCTAAAATATCCAAACATTATGCAGCAAACAGTTAATGAGAATACTTAAACTTATTAGATAAAGTTTGTTATCTTGATCTGCCACCAAATTCTCAAAACTAATTTACAAGGAAATGTCTAGCAGCCATAGGGGAGAATTAACTATCAGATTTTGTGAGTTAGGGGTAAAAGGATATTCATAACCAAAACGAAATTATAATTTACTAGCCAAACCACGCTTTTTGATTCTAAAATTATCATTTCTAAATCATTAAGTACCTGTGTGCACTTTCCACATCACTCAATATTTACTTGGCGACCTAAATGTCTAGAAACTAATTTTTCAGAGATAAATTTGTACTCACAATTTATCTAAAACCTCTCTTCGTGTTCTTGGGGCATCTTCGCGGGTCTCTCGTCATTTTCTACAGGCTGCTTCTCAGGCGGGTTATTATATCCACTCGGTCGTCTTCTTCCTCTCTCTGTTACTCTTTCTTTATTCTTCCACAGCTTCAAGTACAGGATTGTCACAATTACACCAAGAAATGCACCAAAGAGTGCACCACATAAAAATTTTTTCATCTCTGGCAGGGTTATCGAATGAACCTCGAAAATGTTTGAAGATTTTATCTACTGCGACTTTTAAACATACGAGCAAAAAACCATCGAAGGTAACCGCTTATTGATTCCCACACAGTGCCGTTTCCAATACGTCACGCTAGTTCAAAGGACCGGACAATAGGACTTTGTTTTGTTCTTAAAATAGCAGCCTTCTCATGTGACTCACGCCAACACTCTTGAAGCTTATCAATTAGCACATGCTAATTTCCGTGTTTTGTTATCATAGAAGACATAGAAGGGACCAGGGTAATATTTAGCATGATACCTATTTGTTTCCTTTTATTTACATGATAGAATACAAATAACTGACATTTTAAATCCTCAGGATTGGCTTTGAATGCTTTTACCTCGCATATTAAGTTGTTTTGGTACGTAACAACGCACTCAAACCGAAAACGCCAAATCCGTTGTTTTCTTGAGACAACCAAGCGCGCTAAAAGATTACGATTAAGTTCTTGACAAAAAAAAAAAGCGCAACAGAAGAGGTCATATCGAGAACAGTCAGATCAGAGACTTCAAATGTTATTGGAAAGATTTCTGCTCCTTACATTCTGGACAACGATGACAGATATAAAAATAATATGTAGCCATGAAATGGCAAGAGAGGCTGTAGCTTTGACAGTTTCCCTCCATTAAATGACATCCCATTACAAAGTTAATTTGATTTAATCCGAGTCATTGAGCTCTCTTCTCGAGCCTATCATCATTTTCTTCAGGCAGCTTAGCCGCGGGGTTATTACGATCATCCCGTTCGTCTTTCACTTCTTTCATCTCCTTATGTCCTCCTCTTAGCTGAGATCCTTCACTCTCCAAAAATTTGAGGAGAAGCCATGCCACGATAACCCCGCTTATGGCACCGCATACTAAACAAATAAGAAGCTTTTTGAGGGACATTTTATCAAGTTCGTCAGATACCAAACTCAAGACTTTCACTACAATTCATCCAGTACCGGACTGAAAAGAAACTGTGTTGATGTAGTGAAGTCAATAAGACCGACAGCCAATAAAAACCGTCGAGTTGCTGTATTGACGTCATTAAGGAAACGGAGGCTAAGTTGGTATTTGGCGAAAATACACCACATTCCATTGCTTTATGTACTTCTACCGATATTTTAGAGACAAAGGAAGACAAAGGGAATTAATAAAGGAATTAATTAATAAATTGACCAGGGAATCATTAGAGAAGAACGCGCACAACTTGGAACACTCCAGTTCCGAGTTGCGCGCATAACTTGGAGCACTCCAGTTCCAAGTTGTGACGTTTGTAAAATGTTCAACCAAATCCTGGTACATCCTGAGAATCAGGTGTACCACAGGTTTCTTTGGAGGAGCAACACACGTGACAAACCAACTGTTTACCAGTGGCTAAGACTGAACTTTGGTGATAAACCGGCCCCTGACGTCGCAACTAACGCTATCAACACGATAAAAACTCTGAAAGAGGCACAAGTGATCATCTTCGCTTGCATGACATCACGTGCGATTCAACTTGAGCTGGTCACCGATAAAACTTCAGACGCATTCTTAATGGCCTTTCGACGGTTTGCCTGCCTACGCGGACACCCTAATGTTTGCTGGTCAGACCGTGGTACAAATTTCGTGGGTGCCCAAGGCTACCTAAAGGAAATCACGCAGAACTGGGATATTCCTGGGGTAAAGAGTGTCCTCTCTGATAAATTTAGCTGCGAGCTCAGATGGGAATGGAATACACCACATGCGAGTCACCAAAACGGAGTTGTTGAAACCCTAATTAAGTCAGTGAGACAAGCATTTAACGCCACTTGCAAGAACCAAGCCTACTCCGAGGAACAATGGAGAACAATTCTGTCAGAAATCACCTACATGGTCAACGGACGACCGCTGTACCCCAGTTCCGACGATATCTGGGAGGCCCCACCGATCACTCCAAACGACCTACTTCTAGGCCACTACAATCCACCACCACAACCAGAACCAGAGGAAAGAACCAATCCGCGACAATTACTCAGGAGCGCCCAAAACAGAGTTGCTGATTTCTGGAGGAGCTGGATGAAGTATTTCGCCCCAAACTTGTTACCAAGGAACAAGTGGTTTCGGGTGCGAGATAACATCCAGATCGGTGATCTTGTATTGGAGCTGGACCCCAAACACAAAAGATGTGAATGGAAAATGGCGCGTATTGTAGGCAAATATCCTGGAAACGACTTAAGCCATTATAGTCGTTGCTCAATTAGAACTAATTATTTAGACCTAATTTCCGCACTGGGGCGGAGTGATTTGCATTTCTCAAGCCGTTTGTCATTTTTTTGTGAATATTTAATTATCTTAGCGCAACGCGGCAAAAATAGATCAGGTGACTAATTATTTAAAAACCTAGAAGTTCGTTACGCAACTTACATTTCAAAAGTGTCACCACAGATCGCACTTCGAAGCTTACTAGCCGCAAATGGAACACAAATTGTAAGTATAATATTTTTCCCGTCGCTTCAACCGAAATCGACATGTGTAATAACCTTCTTTGTCATATTAATTTAATTTTTCAGTTGACTATACTACTACAAGTGCAAATAAATTCCATGTACGGTCATGTACGCAAAAATCAGTTAGTGGTGAAATCTTCAACATAAAGTAGCCCTTCAATCACAGGAGCGAATCACGCTCCATTTGGGACACTCCATTTCCAAGTTGTGCGCACAACTTGGAACAAGAGTGTTCCAAGTTGCTCTAAATTGGTCACGGTAAAGAGTTTCTAAAGTTAACTCGTCCCGTAGTCTTAATGTATTACCGACTTTGAAGCCATTGTATTTTTCTGCTGTAAGTCGATAATGTTAAATTTCTTCTTTAGCGTCAACCTTTAAACTCCCTGCAGTGATTAAAATGTTACTTCGAGGAAACCACATCACCATCTGTTGTATTAAGAGGGGATTCCCCTGTTGCATGTCATTAGAATAATTGTCTCTTGCTTTAAATGTCACGCTATTCTTGGCTTTGTCTTGAGTTTCCTTTCCAACTATCTGAATGTCTTTGATATACCCGCTTTAGATGTTCTATTTTGGTAAAGTGACCGAGATCGTCAGGATCAGAATTATATTTGAAGAATTCATTAAAAAATCATAGGAGTCCGTCACCATTTTCCCTTCCCTAAAACGTTAATTTATTTCGCCTGGTCAAGGAAAACGTACCGAGCGTGAGGAGTATCATTCACTTTGCCTGATCAAGCAAACCAAATCAAACACGAACAATTAATGAGGCAAACAACTGAGGGGCAGAGCTTCCAGCCGCCATAAAAGTCGCACCAGCAACATCAGAGCCCACGTGAAGCTTGTTCGTGATCTGTTCCAGCGAGGGAACGAAGTAATCGTCGCATATTGAGGCCAATGCTCCAAACATAGAAATGGCCAGAAGAAAATGAATTACAACACCTCTTTGCTTCTGTCGCTGATACTGGGTCATATAATCGTTTGGAAAGTCGTCTATGGAGGGTTTGACGCAATTTTGTGATGACGCCGAGGTTGTTTCTAATTCCACGTTTTCGAGTTGTTTCGGTTGCATCAAATTCGACCGAGCGGAACTACGGTGATTTGAATTGATTTCTTCTGTTGTAAACGATGTTATTGACTTATAAGGTACACTTGGGTCATGAAGCAAGGGAAAAGAACTAGAATTGCAAATCGAGTTAAGACTTTTTTTCCTCGCTTCATTTTGGACGCGTAAATCGAGTGCAGAGCCAACTGAAATTTTACAAATTTACTGATGTTAGTGCCCCGTAACGTTCAACTGTGAGAGATGTAAAATTTGATTTTTTCACGCAGCTATTATAGAGAAAGTTCGTTTTCGTTACTCACTTCACTTGCCGAATTTTTTACGTAAAATAAAACTCTGCGATTATCGTAAAGGATACAATGATTTAATGTATCCTACAATAATTATGCTCTATGAAACGAATGTTACACATTAATTAATTTAGCAAGTTTCGCTTGATAAAAAAAATTGCAAAAATAAGCTAAGTGTCATATGAAAATATAATTACGCGAAATTCTTGGTTAGGCTGTGTTTCATGCATTCCACAAAAGTGGAAATTGAATAATTCACATTTTTTTTCTAATTCCAATGATTTTCTCAATTTATTTTCTTTTGTTTTCTCGTGAACAGGAAAGAATAAGTCATTTGCGGGTTTTCCTTGTGCAGGTCGGATTCCGTCCGTCCTTTATCCTGCTTTCCCTGCATGATTACCTGTTAATGATTGGCTAATCCGTTGCATAGCAACCGTTCGTTTCAATTGGTCAGTTCAATTTGATTGATGATTTGCCGTAGCGCTAAACAGGCTTCCCAGATAAAAATAGACTGCGCGCGTGATTTTCCTTCGTATAAATTTTGCCCTTTATTGATAAACAAGTAATCCCATGAGACCTCGTACTATTAAGGATTAATTGCACTTGAGTTTTCAAAATTTTCCAAATTGCCCTCGTCGCGAATTTTGGAAAATTTTGAAAACTCTCGTGCAATTAATCCTTAATAGTACTTGGCCTCATGTGATTACCTATACAAACCTTTCCTATTTGTCATTTCTCAACCACAATCTAAATCAATGATAAGACCCCCCACCCCTCCCCTCAAAGGTTAATGGAATCAAGTAACAAGGTCAAAATAGATAAAACTGAAGTAATAGGAGGTTGAAAAGGTCAATGTGCTAACAACTTTTGTCGCCAATGGTAGGTTAATAACACTCAATTTTCCATTTATTCACAAAAATTATTTATCAATTTTCCCATAGTCGCCAAATTTTGTTTTCATTTAACGCTTTTCTGGTAGGGAAAGGTTCATCTCCTAGATTATCAAGGAAAGCGAGACCTATTGTTAATGATATTATAATGTAAAAATATCTCCATTTCATTTTGTATTCTGTATTACATTGAGTACTTTATAATTATGTCATTACCTATACGGGTTTTTCCAACATGCATGTCTTGATAAAAGCACTGTTATAACTAAACGCACAATCCTGTCAAGTGTAGAGTTCTATCTTAACTTGACCTTAATATTAGATACCTATGGGCAAGATTTATCTTTGAAGTTGATTCGATGCGAGTCGATTCGATACATCGACAAAGTCGATTCGATATATGGGCTGCGTAGGTTACTTGACTGCTCTTACTGAAGTTATATCGAAACGATTGTAATCGTAAACCAAGAGAAGACTTGGTGCTTTCTATGCTTCATTCTTCAGTTCTAAGTAAACGGCATCTTACAAGGTTGATTCGAAGACTCGTTAAATCTTCCATGTACAATAATTAACAGAAGTGTGCTGGTCCATAATGCTATGAGCACAGAAGTTGTAAGTGCTACTGAAGTATGTCTTTTCCATCTTCTTCGCCAAACAGCCATGACAGCCATGTTCTGATGGTGAATCTCGATCGCGAGGGATACGCTGGTGAAAAACCACTCAATCACCAACTGAAGACAAGTTGTTAGAGCAAAAGACTCCAACGCTTCTAATAGAGAGGCGTTTTGAAGGAAATTGAACTTATACAAATACAAACAGCCGTTGACGGAAACTATAGCAGTTGATTCAAACAGCATGCTCATAATAGTAATATCAGCCATTAGCCTCTCACGGCGAGGAGTGCGAAAACTTCCCCAAGGAGCGGCTGTTCTTTTCCAAATCGAGTGGCAAATATGATCAATAAAGACCATTGCGCTTCTTTCGATTACTTCCACAAACCCGTGAGTTATCCCTAGAATCGCGATGGATTGTAAACTGCCGAGATCCGCTTGTAAAACACGAAACATTATCGCCGAAGAGCCGACCAACGGTGCCAGTAAGACATATGAATATCCCGGATGAATGTAATCCCGGTGAAGCCGCTGAACACAAATTCGTGAGGTAACCTTTAGAACGACTCCAATTAGAGGCGCAAAGAGAGCGATTAATAGTTTGCCATTCATTGTTTGTTTATTAAAAGTTGGGTAGATGATCTCGGCCACCGGGATTGCAAGAATGATAATAGATACAGGAACAATTGCCACTTGAAAGAAAAACGTAATCCTCTGCCTTGTTGATTGTCGTGATAAAAAATGATTTGTTACAAGATGTATTTGCCAAGAAAAACTTAAAGCAACGAGAAAGTGCAGTGGAAGCTTTTGTATCGTAGAAAGTTTAGAATGGGACATTCCGAGGGCTTGAAGAGACACGCGGTAAAGTGCATCCAATAGAAATCCACAGCAGCTCGCTGAAATGAGTTTTTTTCTTATTCCCTTGATCTGATAAGGTCGAAAGAGAAATAGGACCACCAAAAAAAAAACTATTATATATGATGCTACAACACGTTATAGCTAATACTGATCATAACCATTGAACTTTCACAGGAATGGATTTCTTTGGGTAAAATTCGCAGTTGTTTACAGTTTTGTACAGTAGAAATGAAATCAATATGTATAGTGAACCTATGACGGTAGCAGTTAGAAGTGAGATCGAGGCTCCAAAGTACATTGATTTCCAAGTAGTGTGGAGAGCAGATGGTCTTAATCGCTTCCACGCCATTGCTCTATCTTCGTCATCTTGTGAGCTGTTTTCGTGTGTTTCTTCATTGTCGTCTGATGAGCATGCGTTTATGATTCTTACCTTAGGACTGCAAGCCATTAAATAATCCAAGCTAGTTGCTTCTCTCTCGCTGTATTCCTGATAAATAACCTCCTCAACAGGTTGATAGTTCCATTCCAAACCAGTCCCCTGTAGAGGATCGTAACCAAAAACCACTGATTCAGGTTCTTCTGGGTTGTAATGCTCTGTCACGCCTCTTGTAAAACTGAATACGATCTGGCCAAACACCTCTATCAGCATATTGCTGCTCATGATGCCTTATGTAAACGTCAAATGTCTTAGTTTGGTGTCTGAAGCGAAGAATTTTATTGCTCTCCGCTTTTGTATTTGATGTTAACTTGCTCAGATGAGATTTGATTGTTGTTGTTTCCTGTCAGTTAAGTGGCTCAAGGAAAGGCCAGTGACTCAGTGTTAAACATACATTCGTGTTTTTTTACCTTTTAAATGACACTTTCCTCGCCTCATCTCTTCTTACATTCTTGACTCAAGACCAAACCGTGTGAACAGTCCGGCTGCTAGGGCAGCAGTACGTAAGCTAAAGTAAGTCTCTCCCAGGTTATCTTGACAAACAGCTGTTTGCTTGACTAATTTAGGGAAAGTCCCGTTGTTTGTATGGAATGATTATTAGTTGTCGATGTTTCGAAACCTAACAGAGGACATAACTTCCAAGATCTGATTAATTAACTCTCCCCTCTAGCTGCCACACACTTACTTGTAAACTAGTGACGAGAATTTGGTGTTAGATCAAGATAACAACTACTGATACGTTTGTGTTTCCTTATTACTTGTTTGTTGGATAATGTATGGATATTATAGGGAGAAGTAAGATGTTAATCACTTTTGAGAGTTAAGAGAGTGTCTCTGTAAGAGCGGTCCGGTCGATTTTGCTTGGGACACGGATTTCGCTCATTTCTCGTGTGTTGTAAGACATTCACGTACCTATACTAAAACCACAATCAGTTTGATCGGATCTCTTTATTTTTCAGAGTTTTACGGAAATTAAATTTCACTCGAGCGAAGGCTTGTCGTGACACTTTTCAAGACTTTAATTTCATACAACTTTGGAGGACAATTTACAAAAAACTACGGAACTCAGCAAAAAAAAATACCACAGCCATGTATACTAACTCTATCTTATCTATCGAGGCGACTTTCGTAAACATCACGTGTCAATCAAGGAAACAGGAAGACTTGAATGACACCTTATCGGTTCGCCTAAATCAAACACGCCAAAACCGATCAAATTCAAGGTAAATTTTTGAAAAAGTGAGGCGTTCTTAACTGATCCAAGTAACATAGCTAGGAAGTAGGTACCATAGAAAAGGTAACTACAAAAAAAAAACTTTGCGGCCCGACCTTTACGAGAACTTTATAACTCCGTGAACTTACCTAATTTTCGGCAATCTCCAAGTTTGGCCGCCATTTTGAGGGATTTGTCAACATGAAGCGTAACCGATATAAATCAAGCAGGTAGATCTAAAACCGTCAGAAATGCATACGAAAGCAATTCAAATGAACTTTACTTTCAATTCCAGCGGCAAAATTTGAAATTGTTTGTTAAACTTACCATCCCCATGCGACCATTTATTCCAACAATTCAAACACTACAACTTTCTGAATTCCCCTCGTCGATTCCACCGCAAGAAATAACCTGTGCCACCCAAGCTTCGACTCGAATGTGAAGTATGAATCAAATAACATAACTGCTTCATCTCCGCGGCAATATCAGGGTGGTATTTTGATTTTCCGATCGACAAGAACGGTGATCAAGAATCGATCGGTTTGTTTACCTCATAAACGTGACTGCTGACCAGCTGCTGACTGAAAACAGTACGGTTCAGTGGCGAGGGGCGGGGTGAGGGGTGGGTGCGGGCAGATTATCAGAAGATTTTCGGGAACATTCGAACGTATGCATTAAAGTATCATGATAAACATTAGGATTCTCAGTCTTAATGCGAAGGCATGCTTCGTGTTGCAGACAACTTTTGTTTTACTTAGTATTCTTTTTATTTCAAATACATTTCGTTCTAAATAGGACTAGCATCAGTTCATTGATTTAAAAACAAATCTTTACCACGTAAATAAATGTGTTTAGATAATCGAGATAACCATTGAACCTCTTGTATCGCACCGGAGATAACGTGTCTTGTCTTTGCCCAACTCTGAGAGCGTGGAGCGGCAAAGACGCG